ATTATACAGGGTTATTCTAAATGATGGACCCAATTTAATAAATTCGTATTTATTTAAGTATAAATGCAAAATGAACAATCTACATACCAATGGAAAGAGGAAGTTTCAAAGTTTTTTTTACATATTTATTTCAGACGAAATGCCCGCTGCACTGTAACTTGCGACTCACTTTTAGCAAACTCAAGAACGCAGAAAACCTTGTGCTGCACGGTAGCCATCTCACTCACAACTGACAACACAAAGGCGGCTGGCTGGCGCGAGAACTCTAGCGGCCGTTTCTGCATATGTAAAAAAAACTTTGAAACTTCCTCTTTCCATTGGTATGTAGATTGTTCATTTTGCATTTATATTTAAATAAATACGAATTTATTAAATTGGGTCCATCATTTAGAATAACCCTGTACATTACTTGATCTTGATCGTTATTCTTTTTGTTCAAGGAATGTGTTGCCTTTGCCCCTAAATGTGTTTCTGATAAAGTTTGCCAACTCAAAAATTTCTTGTAAAATTAGGTTAACTTCTTACATGCATGTTTATCAAATTCATCAATTCAAATCATATACCTACATTATCACGTATATTCCCTAATAACACAATTCCATCCCACAAACATCCTAAAAACATTCCAATGAGACAATACAAACATCCCTAAGAGGTCCCTATTTTCCTATAGACATCCCAGGGACGTCTCTGGCAACAGCCATGTCATCATTTGCGATGTTACAGAAACATGTATGCGAGATGTTACACGGGGACATTCACAAGATGATGTTGGAATGTTCCAATTTATAAAAACAGGGATTTTCAAAAGCAGTAATAAAATTTGTTTTAATAAAATAACAAAGATTTAATATGGAGTTTGATACAAAGTATTTACAGAAAACATGTAAAAAACAAAATATTCTCTTAAACAACAAATTGCCCTCTGCCTGAATATTCTATAATGGTGTTTGGGATACTCAAGTTTCCAATAGCACCTAAATAAAGCTCTATAAGTATGTATGTATACAAAAAACACGCTTCTCCATACCTAAATTCTTATTTTTTTGTTGCACGTTTATGTTCTGCCCGAATGCGTCGTTCCTTAGATCTTCGCAGCCAATCCCCCAGTTTCTGCTCAACTTCCTTTTTATTTTTTGCATGTCCACCTTTTTCAGCGGCTTCTAAAATTTTGCAAATGTTTGTACCAATGTATACACAGCAGTAAAATGTATTAAACAAAACAGTTTATAACACAGTTAATATCACATATTAATCAAGTATCTCTCGTCCATTAAAAAATATTGTGCACACTATTTCTGTACAGACCAATATGGATCAGCAATATTTTTGATGTACGTCTCCATTTTTGATAAACGTTATGAATAGAGTAAAATGAAGTTTAGTAACGTTTATATTATAATTTTTTCTCTATGGCTATCGATTTCGGCAACATTGCCATCATCAGGCCTAGCGTCAAGGTTTAAAAGGCAGCGTATTTATACATGTCATGAAGTGCGTTGCGTGTTACTGACGAAAGTGGAAATGGAATGACTATAGAAGATAAACTAGTAGCAACGTTGTGTAAAGTGTGGTTATAAAGTGTTAAAGTGACATGTATAAATACGCTGCCTTTTAAACCTTGACGCTAGGCCTGATGATGGCAATGTTGCCGAAATCGATAGCCATAGAGAAAAAATTATAATATAAACGTTACTAAACTTCATTATATTTTACTCTATGGATCAGCAAATCCTGGTCATGAAACGTTCCTATTAGACCTGCATGTTGGGGATTAACAAATTCCATGTGTAGCTTTGCTGAACTGCGCACTAATGTGCACACCAGAACTTGAAAGTCAGGATTTACTGGTCAGTGTGTAGGTATAATGTGCGTAATATTTAAGACATTAGAGAATTAATATTGTTTAATTCGCTCAATTTCGTTAAACTAACACAATGTATTTACTATTTTTGCCAAATTTTTATCCCCAAAGGAAAGATTTCCTTTTTTTCCAAAGAAGGAAAACTGTTCCGATAATCCATCCCATAGTAGAGGAGCAAGGCATCTACGTACAAATTCATATAAATTAGCTCCTCCAATAGATGAGAAAAATCCAACCTGCAAAAAATACATTGCATCATACATTGGTAAGTTTAAATGAAATATACAAAGCATTGCTTTTCATGCAGTCTTTTAATCAGAGCAGTGCGTCATAGACAACAATGACATAATCAATCAATATTGATGTCATGTATAATTTAAAATTAATGGTTATAAAACGTGTTTTATATATTAATGCTTGAAACAAATCTACAGCAGCTTGACAACAACAGACCATTAATACTGGTAGCGCTGCACCATACTACCAACATAATGCTGATGCCAATTTAGAATTGATATAAAGAAAGTTGGGAATTTGTGCAGCCGAAGTTGGTTATGAATTGTTTAAATAACATAATAAAAAATATTACCAAAGCTAAATAATTTTCTCTTGCCGAAAAGAATTTCTCAAATTTGTCGAATTCCTGAATAGTTTCCATAGGAAAACTAATTCCGGATTTCCGAATGATATTTTCTTCATTTTCCTCAGCTTTCCTAGGTACACTGTTCAGCTTGTTATTGATTTCGATAAGTAATGCCTGAATGTTGTATAGTAAAGCTGGATTGCAACAACATTTTGTTCGGTCTGCCCTTCCTGAAAAAATTTGATTAGACATCAATTTATTTCTAACAAAATTAAATAAACTTGCTTATATTTTCCTTAATGGAGTCTATAGGCTTTCGTGGTGTGATATTGTTAATTTCATTTTCTTGTTGGCTAGGGGCAATCGAGGTTGAAGGTAATGATTCAATAACAGGTGGTACCACAACCACCTGTTCCTCAAGTTCATCTATGCATGCTTCTGGTTCAGCTACAAAAGGTAAATAAAATATAAGAACTCAGATAAAACAGAATGTTGCAACATTAATTTGAAGTGTTCAGGGACTCTGAACATTATATTAAAATTGATAAAAAAATATTTTGACAGCCTCTTACCTAACTGATGTGAATCTTTGTGAGTCCGATGTTCATCATCAGTCCATGCTGGTGGAGAAGGCATTTTACCTTTATTGGCCCGCTTCTCATTCATAGATTCAGTGTCTGATGAGTCGTCTGAAGATGAAGAGATCACTTTTTTCTTTCTTTTCCTTTTTCCTGATAAAGGACCATCATCACAATCTGTGTTCAGGTCACTTGTATTTTCAGCTTTATTAGCTTTGCTCCTCGCAACAGAGTAATTATCTAAAAAAAAATTCCTTTTTCACTTTGATTATTATCTAATTAAATTTTTGTTTTCATTAATCAAAAATTAGGTACATATTCTTTCACAAATTATTTTTTTAATACCACAAATATGAAGATTACCATATGTTGCATTCCGAAATGTTCTCACAGTGTGTGATGGCCAACATGAATTAAATTCACATTTTCTTATGTAGGTATTTAATTTGTCTCTAGTTACCACTGGCCATAAGCACTGATCTCCACTTAACCATTTTGTCGGAACTGCCTCCACCGTTTCATCATTGGTGAAACACACCACAGTCCATGTATTATTTGGAGACGCCATAGGAACTAAAAAAACAACAAAAGGGCAAAACAAGAACAGAAACACCTTATAATAGACCTATGTTATACCATTGAATAAAAACACTATAAGAAGCCTAACCCCGTGGAAATAAAGCGCGACAGAGTTTGAACTGAGAATATAATGGGAACACTGTCAATAGAGTCGATTCTTGAACTGAGAAGAATGAGAATTTGCTTTCCTCCTATTTACCGCAAAGAGAGTTCGGTGGTCACAACCAATGCGGGGTGCAAGGGGATTTGTGAGATTTGTCGCGCTTTCTTCCATAAGCGTTAGGCTTCTTATAGTGTTTTTATTCAATGGTTATACGTAGATACATGTGTGAAAATTTCGTCCCATAAACTTTTAATAAATGTGTGTGCTATACAACTCTTATACATATATAAACATAAGAAAATATTAAAGGGGCGCGGGCATTGCGAAATAAACGAAATTAAAATCAGCTAAGGACAATTAAACTAAGTTTGAGCAACTCTGGAGGCAGTTTTCGTTTAGGTAGTTTAGTATATGAACTGAAAAAGCCTTTTAAATCTAACATGGGCTGAAATGAATTAAATGAAACTATGATTTCAATCTTCGTCCAGTTTAGCATAGATGACCTGGAATGCCTTAAAAGTATGGAAGTAGGTCGATAAGTAGCTGATTTATATATTTCGTTTGCAGTGTACGCCCACCTTAAAAAGCTAAAAAATTTGTATAAATCTTAGTTTGTGTGGATTAATGGTAAAATTACAAATTTGGTCTTATAAGACAACTTCATGCATTTATAGGCAATTTCATTTATATCCCATGATTTCAATTCATTTTCTAAATAACTTGCCAAATAAATATTAAGTTTTGAAGACTTACAGGGAGACGTATAAAAGTCCTCGTAGGTTAAAAATTTGTTACCAATTAATTTAATACATTTACCTTTACTACTTACTATAATGTTTCTAATAATGACCACACTTTTGTCAATAAGTGCACAGCAATTATCAGCATCTTGTATTGATAATAAGAACTTTTCAAACACAATTTTTTCAAATTGTTGCCATCTATCGCCAGATATATTTTCCATTAGTGGACCTTTCGAATGTTCAATTTGGAACTTTGGATACGTAATTGTTTTGCTATCATTAAATAGAATTTGTGTGTTTTTTTCGGATATTCTATTAACGATTTGCTGCAGCGGTTTATCACCTTTACGAATTAGTTTTTTTATATACATCATCTTATTTTCAAATGGAAATGTACTAAAGTTTTCAACACTGCAAAATATTTCAACATCATCAGTAAGATGAAGCAAGTTATGTATATTATGGGAAACATTTGCTTCTCCATAAAGCATTGTGTAAGTTAGTACAAAATGTCTAAGTAACTGCTTAGCATACAGTAAATTATCACACTTTGACAGTAATGTCATTGATACATGGAGGGTCAAAAAGTTTTCATATATTTCATCTGAGACTCTTTTTCTTAATATTATAGGACCCAGGTAAAACAGAAATAAACGAAATTCTGTAGCCTTCCACCTTTTGACTTCCAGAAATGACCTTGGCTTTCTCATAAACTCATAAGGTATTTGGTTTTTAAATGTGAGATAATGATCTGACAAATTTTTAATTTGTTGTGATGAAAAACGATGAGGTGGTTTACCACAGAGCCATAAGTTATTTAGAAGTTTTTTTGTAACACCTAAGCACACCAAATGCATGTAGTCAATGGGGAACGACTTAATCATATCGACACAGGGAATAGATTCTAAAATAGTCGTTTCAATATGATGACTGCTTTGTTCTTTCATTCGAAAACCTGAATCTGTTCTTAAATTCCACCCCTCTAAGCTTGGAAAGCATGTTCGATTTTCAATATAAGATCCTTCGATGTTACATTTAGTACACGACATATATCCACTATGCCCCTTTATACATTTTAAGAATGATTTCGCAGGCACATCACATATAAATGCAATTATTTTTACATTATAACAAATTGTATTGTAGAAAAAACCATTATTTATTAATTCAATTGCCTCCATAACAAAATCTAACATAAAATCATTAGAACTGTGTGGCTTTTCATTTCCCTGATAAATTCCACAAATCTCGACAATATTTGTATATTTGAATAAATTGATCATTATCGAGGGGTTATTCACTACACATTATTTGGTACGAAAGATTGCCTCCTCACAAAATCTCCTCGGATTTCCTCCAAATCTCCTGTATCTCCTCGGATCTCCTCCGAATCTCCTTGGATCTCCACCAAATCACCTGGATCTCCCTCAAATTTCCTTGGATCTCCTCCAAATCTCCTCGGATCTCCTCAAATCTCCCCCGAATTTCCTCGGATCTCCTCTGGATCGCAATATACTTAATCTTCTGTATCTCATGGATTTCATTTGAATTTCCGGATTTTTTTAGATTGGTGATAATAGGTATATGTATAATGTTTAAAAAATGAGGATTTGATTTCCAATTTGTAGAAACGTAAATAACAAAACAATACTTACCACATTGCGCACGAGTATTTCAAAATAAAACGTACTAAAAAAAACAGGTATGCTTCTATTAAAAAAATGTAAAATCAAATATAATTACTGGACATTAAAAAAAACAAAATAACACTGTTTCTACTTATCGATACCTATTGAATACATTCTAATATTAACGATAGGAACAAACGAGGGAACAAAGTAAAGTTTAAGTAATTAACTTTTTTTTAAATTTTTGTATAAATTACAAATTTGTTGTCTGTCTGACCACGATAAACTCATAGGTTTTGAACCTAACATTTTTATAGGTCCGTAAAAAATTTGAATCACTTCCACGTTTTGTACGTCCTCTTGTTTAGGCCAATAAAAATGTTGAAGATTTTCTTTCAGAAATTTCACTTGCACCAACCCTTCTTTCTTTGCATTGACCACTTTCCCTATATACCACGCAGCATCGTACTTCACAGCATAGTAATGTTCATTCAAAATGTTTACGTTGACTTTACTTATCTTTTTCGGTTCTTCATCTGAAATGTCTTCTGAATCGTGAAGGCCGATATTTTCAATTTCCAATTCCGATTCTGATGAGCTGTTATCTCGGCTTCTACGTTTCCTTACTTGATTTTTAGAGTTTTTTTCATCCTCGGTTACATATTTAATACATTTTCTATTTTTGTTTAACACTATATTTTTTTTATTCGTTTGGCCTTTAAACCTATATAATCGGTCAGCACTCAATCTTGATATATTTTCATTTAGCATCCAACATACTGAAGATTTTTTTACGGTTTTAGTGGCACCATTTTTCAAAACCACTTTTAAATACGGGCCTCCTGATAGATTATTTGTATCTAGGTCCACCTTCTCTGTGTAATCCTTTAAGTCTAACGATTCGCCGAAGCATTGCTTCAATACCTCAGTGTCCTCTGCATCCACATCATCATCACCATTTTCTTGAATCGCTTCTATCAATGTATTATTGTTTGATGTATCCGTACTTTGTTCGTCACATGGCACCTCGCATTGCACAACATCATCGATTCGGTCGCCGTCCTCTTCATTACCAGCATTTGATTTTTCGTCACAATCTACATCTATTTGTACCTTGTTCAGCTCCATCATAGATGTCCATCTGTCGCAGTTTATGATTCCCATTTTCTCAGCAGTATGTATTGCGTCTTTTTGTGACTTTAATACTACAGCTTCTATATCACAATCAGTCATGGGTTCATAGTAAGTTTCAGTTGTAGTGCTGACTCTCATTCTCTTGGGAAAATTGAAATTTCCTTGAAGTTCATGCTTTGCATCTTCTAGATAGTGAATACGGTTTAACCTATGTAAAATTTCTAACATGCTGTAATTCACCACAGTAGAGTAGGTACTCGTCATGGATCTCGTAGCTCTAAATAGCTGCTCACAAGGCTGACTACTCATAAGATGGGGAAGAAACATGTTCGGTGACAAATTATTGTCACTAACAAATTTTCTGATAAGTAAAATCATGGCGTGAGCATTCAATTCAATGCACGTATAGCTATTTAATGTGATAAAATTGTCTTTCAATGTATATATATCGGATTCTTTAATCCACTGCCTCCAGATTCGTAGTATAAATACACTATACCATATCTTATACAATCTTTCATCCAATTTGATATCCTGTTGCATGTAAGCATCCAGAACGTTCTTTACAATAGTCAAATATAAGATAGTCGCTTCGCTGTTTGGAACTGCACTTTTTAATAAATCTAATACTTTTGCATCACATATTTTTAACACCGCGGTGAAATTCATTTTATCTTGAGAATTAATATCAGTTAGCACTAAACGGTGCACATCTTTTGAAAAATGTTGTTAAGTTCAGCATGAAACCACGGCCATCCATCATTGTTTTGCGCGGAAGATAACTTTGTTACATACTTCATTACCTTTAGTAATCTACTGTCCCCATCAGATGACATGCCAAGAACTTCAATTTCATTATCTTTGGCCATAGCTATTGTGGTTCTCCATCGCTGAAGCACATCACTGGAGGAGAACCTATTGTCTGTGCCATACAGACAATAACAAAATTGCGGACTTTTAGCTATAAGAGGTTGGGCCACCAACGCATAGGTGTAGTTAGCCTTACTCTCTTCCGGAAACTGTCTTTTAACTTCCTGGATTGATGTTGCCTAAACATACAAAAAAATCTTTGTGAACTTTCGAAAAAAATCTCTTATACTTACTTTAAATGCCATATTGTTTGGATATCCATTAGGATTAATAGGTAATACAAACCCCACATTTGTATCGGTTGATGCACAATACTGGATCCTGCCATTAATACGTGTTCCATCTTCACTAAGCCACACTGTTTTTGGAAAATTGCGTTTCGATAGATGTTCACTCAGCTGCTTGATTCTTGGAACACCTTCTTCGATGGAACAATTTTTGAATAGTTCACGTTGTACAGTAGATATAGAAGGCAAAGCTCCATTCAAATTTAGATATAAAGTCTCGTATAGTAATCTGCCTCCGATGATAAATAGATAATTAGAGAATTTCTTTAAGGTGAGGTTGTACTTATTGCTTTTCTTTGTATTATTGTTATTTGCTGTGGCTGTTTTGATTAGCAAATTTAACAAACCTTTGATATTCTCGTCGTCGCTACTTTCATTGGGATGGTTTTCAAAAACATTTATTTTTTTACAGTTATCCAAAAATAATCTTTTTAATTCTGCATTTTCTTGCATCACTTTCTCTACGCTATTTACATAAGGGAAAAATGTTGTTATATAGGGTTGATTTTGAGGTATTACAGATAATTTGCGTTTGATCCTGTCACTTCTTGAATTTGCAGCTCGATCTGGAATTTTTAAATTCTCCTCTGATTTGTTTTCAAATTCCACCCGAGATTTCACTGTATCATCAGACTTTGTGTTCAGTAACACATTTTGTATTACATTAACTTTTTTAGTGCACGCTTGTTGATTCGTTAGTTGATCACGAGTTTGATCGTTAGTTATTGTCGAGGTTATTGTTGACGATGGTTTGGGACGTTTGGGTTCTGATTGGAGATTAAATTCACAATCGATGTGCGAAACAACGTGACTAGTATTACTCGAATTTTTTTCGATGCCCGACACACTTAAAAAATCGATTTTGGGGTTTTCCGAGGGTTTTTCTAAATAATTGAGCATTGTCTTAAATTTTTTATTTGGACGACAATTGCCTTGGGAATTCGTTTCATTCTCGATTTCGTTTGACACTAAAGTTGATTTGTTGGCAGGGATCTTGGTGTAAAAGTGCGCTTTAAAATGCTTGTAGAAATTTCCTCTTAACCACCGCGGAGCGCAAGTACTTTTTCGCTGTTCAAAAAAAAGTTTTACTTTATTTTGACATAATATACAACAGACTGTGCCAAACAGGTCATCATTGTGCCCTATTTGAACAGTTACCTCAATATTGTCCAATCTGGTAAGATATTCACTTTTTTTGTTTAAATCTAAAGTTGCTTCCTGAATTATATCTTTGCACTTTTTTAAGAGCTCTTTTCTTAAATTATTTTTTTCTAAATGCAAATCAATAACTTCCTCTCTCACTTGAGTTTTTGGGCAATTACGTTGTCGAGAACTTAATGGATTTTGAAACTTTTGAATATTTTTTTGTTCGTTTAATTTTTTTTTAAGTGTCTCTGATGCGATTTTTAACAACTTCTTATGACCAGGTAATAGTTTAAACTTTTGTGGTACTCTTTTATACACTCCGAAATATTGCTCGTACTCGGCTTCGTCTATTAAACTGGTTAGTTCCTCCCTTCCAAACTGTTCTATTGCCTGTATATCATCGTTTGTAATGTTACTTAATGATTCAATATTGTAATAACCCGAAATTTTTAAAACATTTTTTAAATCTTGAGGTAATGCTGGTATTTCTTTCTCAAATTCGTCCGTACCTTGGTACGCACTGTTGGTTGTGTGTTCGTTATTCATATTCGAGCCCATAGTCAAGCCACAAAATGGTAGGTCAGCACGCTGAAATGAAGGACAGAAGCAATGTTTGAAAAAGGGGTAGATACATCTGTGGTAACATCCGATGTATCCTCGGATGTATCACTAGCACTTAAGACCTAATTACAGATAAAGTGTGAAATTCGAGGTGGAATTGAAATAAATCTTCATGCATTTTGTCAAAGTGCGCCGCCACTAGGAGTTTGCCCCAAATAATATTTTTGACGCACTTCGTATAAGCGCAGTGCTAATGAAAATGATATATTATTTACCTTGAAAAAATATTAAACTAAAGTCGAAGGAGAAATACGAGGTATTAACACTGCTTATTATAACCATAAATGCAAAGGTAAATAAAGAACAAATTTGCGGCTAAGATACATTGGTGCAGTGTCTACAAAAACCAAGTTTTTATTCTAAAAAAATACCCATTAATTTTCTCTCAATCTGGACAGCAAATTTCTAAGTGCAATTGAAAATGTACCTTTTGTTGTGTTTATACCTAATCTATGAATATGTAGAAAAAAAAACACTTTTTTACTTACCTTCATCGAAATCCTTATTCACAACACATTACACAACATAAATTTTGCACAAATCACATGCTTTATGCGGATGAAACTAAAAATAGAAAGCAACAAACGCATGTGCTTGCACAAAACAAAGATAAACCCCTCCTAGATGCGTTGCAAGTTGGTGAGTCAAAACTGCGAGCGAGGATCGGAAATTTCCACACAACGTTGCTTACGCGACGCTTTGCAGTTCGCATTCCTCAGAATCTCCTTGAATCTCCTCGGAATCTCCTCGAATCTCCTCAAAATCTCCTCGGATTTCCTCGAATCTCCTCAGATTTCCTTGAATCTCCCCGGATCTCCTCGAATCTCCCTATAGATCTCCTCGAATATCCTCGGATTGCCTTAGCTCGAAACGAGAAATCTCCTCCGTGACCAACCCCTCGATCATTATAGGCCAAACTTGATTACTGGAACTTTGAGAAATAGGCAAGCCATCTATGTTTACACAAATTTCTAAAACACTGGGTATAAACCGATTTTCTTTTAACAACTGTGCGAGTATATTTTGTAAACACTGCGCTAAACCAAAATGGTAATATGAACCTGGAGCTACACACCTAATTTGTGAACCAGCATGTCGAGGAGTTTTTAAAAAGGTCCTTGCATCTTTTGGTAACGTTGGGTGTTCTTGTTTTAATATAATTAATAGATCAGATAAGGCTGTATGATTGATATTATGTTTTAATGCCCAATTTGACAAGGAAATATTTAAAGGTAAAGACCGACACTGCTCGGACTCTTCAATACTTTTATTTAAATAAAGAGATGGTTGGCCTGTGACATTATCATATTGGTCTCCCTGAATTATATTTTGGCTGTCATGGGATTCACTGTTATCCGATTCCGTATCTGTCTCACGAGATGATTCCTCCTCAACAGTGTAATGAGACGACAGAGCAGATGAAATTACGAGCTTGTCAACTGCTTGAAAATCATCCGGGTTACTCTGAGCGGGATTTTCGGGAGTTTTTACTTGAGAACTTTCATTACTTTGCTTTAAGCGCTTAAAACGTTGACTGAACTTATTGAATAATTTTCTTTTTTCTGATGAGGGATCCATGAATATGGGATAGGTATTGGTAATAATAGGTACCTATATCAAACGGTAATGAATGAGTAATTTAAGTAATTACCTAATTGTAACGAAGATATTTTTAACATTAATAACTATATGTATAGCAGTTAATATTGTAATTTGTAAGTACTTACCGACGTTCAGCACAAACAAATTTCGTAACCGCCGGCAAAAAGATTGAATAATAAAACGAAACTTGAACACAAACTCAACTTAACCTCACAAACACCGATACACGAGACGAAAGACCGCTAAAATAACCACGCCACGCTTCACGCTTGACACCAGCGCCACCAATGTCCGTTTCAATAAATTATAGAGGATGGATGGAAAGGTTGATATGGTTCGAATCCCGTCGTGATAATTTTTTTAAATCGAGAAAATTTAAGATTAATGTACATAAATTCATTTTTTAAGCATATTTAACTAAATTGCCGCGGAAGCGTCTCAAGAATTGTAAGATTGTTATTTAGGCTTTGTATGGAATGTTTATCGAACATCCCACGTAAAACGTCTTAGGAATGTACCAAAGAGAACATCTCAGGATTGTCGCACTTAGGGCCGGGACATTGGGGCATTGTAGAGACCCTAATGGTACATCCCTGGGATATCATGTGTTATTAGGGTTATTATGGCAGATTATCAAGAAAGCATTTTAAAAATGCCCTGCTGTGCAGCTCCAAATTGCAGTAACCGATCTGAGAAACGGTACAGTCTATACCGAATCCCAGCAGATGAGCCTCGGCGGTCGAAGTGGGTGCAAAACATGAGACGAGATCGAGGACCCGATAAATGGCAACCAACTACAGGTTCACGTATTTGTGAGGTAGATATTTTATTCTTCGTTTCGGCACGACTCATCTTGCCAGCGAGATCATTGCAAAACTCAATGTTTCCAGGGCCGGACTGGACAGGAGGGATACCGGGAGATTTCCCGGGGGGCCCTAATTCAATGCTTAATATTGTTAATAAGTGAAAAAAAGTAAATTTCCGATCAATTATATGGCACCACAAAGAACTGTTAGGTAGACGGTAGACCCTTACAGGCCGCCTAGGTTTATTTACATAATTTATCTTCTATGCAAAATTCCGACTAAAAGTTCGCTTACCAAGAATAAAATTTAATCCTTTTAAATTTACAATCTGTCATTACTTTTCGGAGAATGCTGAATGCTGTCTAATGCAGTATGCAGTGCAAGCCGGTGCAGGTAATAAATGAAAACTGTTTATTGTTTATTCAGTTCAGTAACATGAAAGATGCTGGATGCGACAGCAGTCACTAGTCAGCAGTGTCGTTTTACGTTTACGTTAACGTTGCATAAGTTTGCGTACTATAAATTATAATAATTATTAATTATAAAGTGTAAAGTTTACTTTGATTGAGTTGCGTTATTACTTATTACCTACCCCTACGTTTACGAATCTGTTTCATTGGGTAAGTAAGTATTAAATATAAGTACCAAGGTATTTTGATATCTATATTTACGTTAACTATTTCATATTTGTAAATTGTAATCGGTATAAAAATCTGTAAAAAGATAAATCATTTCATTAAGGGAGTGGGGTTCACAACCCACAAGAAAAAAAGTAAACGGAACGTAACATCGCATCGTTTAATAAACTTGGAATTCTTCTTGTCAGAATCCAAAACTTTAAACTTATTCCACAAAAATAAAAATACATAATTGTT